AAATTAAACAAGTCTTCAAATAATATCTGACACACAACACTGGAAATAATGAACTTCTGAGTAAATCTTACAGTTTTTTATTGAATGTTGACAGTCAACTTTATTTTAACTTCATCAAAGAGGGGAAAAATATAAACCAGCAAGTGATTGAAGATTTTTATATTTAAAATACATTGACTATTATTCACTTAAATCAGAATGTTGAGTGGTGCAGGCATGCTATTCCTGTCTACCTTGCTCTTTTTAGGCTGTTAAAAATAAAATCGATGGTGATAGTCTCATAATTCTGTCTAACAAGTGCTAATATGATTTCTAATTACCTTTCTAAATTTCTATATAACAATATGATGAAAACAGTTTAAATATTGTCTAGCTTTCATATTAATACATACATGCAAAGATATGTTTTTTTTCTCAGGCAGTAAAGCCAAACACAAGCTGTCTAAATAGATTGTAAACAGTGGTAGCATTTCACAGAATTATTATCTTGATTCTACATGACTTGTGAGCTGTCAGCTGTGGCAAATGAAAGAGGTAACAGTTACTTTACTTTTCCTAAGGAGATGTGCTTTTTCAAAATTGCTTTGTGTTAAAAGGCTAAGAACTACAGTTCTGATTAAAATTTTCTTTTGTACCCTGGAACTCCCCACTTTGAATTGCAGCTCTTTTTTTTAACATTTATAGTGATTGTTTTGCTGCAACAAAACAGTTACACTTAACTACACAGGTGTTTAAAGAACAATATACCTTCCTTCAACTCTTCTACTATTTGATTAGATCTAAGATGACTTGGAGGCAGCATTTACTTTCTCATAACATTTAAGAAGACAACTTAGGATTTTGTAAGGGTTGGTGAAAAATCAGTAATAACTGATGTTCTTGTAACATGCCTGCAGTGTGGAAGGTAAGTTGGGGGCAAAAGTTATTTTCTTTGAATTAAGTGGAAAGACTTGTAATTTATACTAAAAGTGCTCAATTTCATGACAGACATCAGTTTTGAAATATAGCCTATAAATTCTGTAAACATTTCACTGTTTTCCCTTAACAATCTGAATGGTCAATTGAAATCAGGATCGAGACATTGGATTATATTTTCTAAAACTATATTTGAAAATGTCATTTATCTGTCACAAAAAATGTATTCTAGAGCTGCTTCTTTTTTTCATGTCTTCTTATTCCAAACGTTATATCCTAACCATGAAAGAATATAATGTTTAACTGTACAGAAAATGGAGACTGTACACAGATTGGAACTGAAACAAGAAAAGAAAATAGTTTCTATTTAAAAAAAAGGTCAAACATAAAGTATTCCTTTGTAAACCCTTTTTGAACATGATTTTGCAATATGTGGGAAAACTCTTGCTTATATTTGTCTGATAGAACACAAAGAATAAGCACCCAGGTCATGAACTTTTACATAGCCTTGAATTCATCTTTTTCAAAATACATGAGTGAGTGAAATTTTGGGGAGAGAAAAAAAAAAAAAACAAACAACAAAGTGTAGTATTTCTCTTGCTCAGTGTTTAGTTACCAAAACAATGGTACTGTCTGGGAGCTAATAGTTTACTCTTCAAACAGTTGATATATTAAAATACATAGCATAAATACAAAATGTAATAAATTAATTAAATAATATTTTTAATACAATATATGCAGAAAAGTTCCCATGAATTTAATTTATACAAAATAATTTGAAAACACAAAATGGAATAATTTTCTAGATAAAATAACTATCTCAAAATTGTGTTAACTGCCTTTTTAACACTGTCAGTCTTGCCAACATTTCTCATTTAATTGAGTTTTCAAATCCAGGTAAAATTCTCAATAAAACATGTTGGCAAGTTTCTTGAGATCTAATTTTCAGGATATTTCAGAATGTTGGCATCAAGTGCATGTGTCTTCCTACCTCTTGGCTCTTGATTGTAATCCTGTTCCTACTGATATTACCTAAAAGTTTATACCCTTTGGTAAGTGATTGCAGATCTTTGCAAAAGATTTTTGTGGATTGATACATCTTGAAAAGGATTCACTCTTTCTTTGGCACTCTTGTTAGATGTCTTGGCAAAAACCAAAACAACAACAACAAAAAAAAACCAAACATGGGACATCATTAAAGTGTTAAGTGCTAATGCACCATTTTTAAATTTAGAAGGGTTTTGTTCTTCAGAATGTTTCAGTAGGTCTTTGATTCCAGAGGTGACAGCCATATAATGGTTGGAGTTAGTGTAACACTGAGAGTTGCAGCATTTATTTCTTAATGGATTCCCTGTGAAATTCCTGGGTTATGTGCTAGGTTCCCCACACAGTGAAAATACCAATATTTGCAAGCCTTAACAATTTAGCCTGTAAGCCATTAGGGAATATTACATTAAATCTTGCCCTTTTGAAAGATTTCAGGGCTAATTTCGGATTCATAATCATAACTGCAGTTCTGATGTTAAGCAACAGCACTTTCTTTAAAAAAGAGAAAAACTAAGACAATTGAATACTTTCTTTCAAAGTAGAACCAGATAAGAGGGAGGTACTGTTTCCTGCTTTGTACACAATGCTAAGCAAAGATACCTTATGTATGAAGATCTGACATATTACAGTTCAGACCATTCCATTAGAAATTTTAGCCACCTCATTCACACAATGAAAGCCATAAGTTCTCTCTTGGATGTCAACCCAGTGCACTGGAACATTTTTAAAAGGGATTGCTAATGAGTATCCATGGTAGAAGTCAATCCATGTAGCCAGCCAGAAATGACAAATTTTGTCTTGAAGTTTGGCCTCTGAAGGACTTGTGCTTGACTCTGTATCAGAGAGATATACCTTCCTCTCCTTTGGATTCACAACTTAAACTTTTCTTAGTTGCATGTGTCTAAACCCTTTCTATCATAAGATGAGTAGGTGTCATGCCTTTATTTCAAACTCAGCATGTTTGAAAGGAAGAATATCATAGCCTTTCCCTCCCACCTGCCTATTCCCTTACTCATGCAAAGGATTAGAGAAGCGGGTGTCTGTTCGGGATTTGGGAGATTCAGGTTCAGTTCTAGCCCATGACTGAGACAACTCATGTTTGCACTCTTTCGCACTAAATAGAATTTTGCATAAATATATTGAAGTTGTTACTTAAACAGGAACTGCCACTGAAGCCTTTCCTCTGCCACTGTGTGCTATAATCCCTAATCTACAGAACAGCCCATGTTCTCCCTCTCTCCTTTTCTCCTGCTCGGCCTCTGCTAACTGCTTCCATTCAAAGTGGAACAGGATCAGTATGTGGAAACTGCAAGTGTTTTTACCTTGAAATGGTCTAATGCCTGTAGGTTACAGACCTTTGCTGAGACACTGAAGCTTAAGTCTCCTCTGGCAGAAGATATTGTTGAACTGACACTCTCAAACGTGTCAGTTCACATTCATCTCTAATGCTCCAGATGATGAATGGCTGTGCAGAAGAAAGTTGAAATATCTACTACATGTCCTTCTTTAGCAGTTGCCACTTTTTTAGGGGAACTCGATTTGTTAGGTTCTTTGTGAGAGCACACCTACTGAAATGATGACCTTACACATAGAGAACTGGAGTGTGAATTCTGGTGGCATCCAGGACTTAGTCAAGTGCCAAAGTGTTTAGCGGAATTTCTCCAAACTGTGTCCAATGACAAACCTATAAAGTGTGATGTGGAAAACTGAGTGCTTTCAGCCCTGGAGGTGGGAAGCTGAATGCAGATTTTGATAAACACAGTTTCGATTTAGACTCCCAAAGAACTAGGTAGGGTGAGGTCCTTAAATATTTTCTTGATCTAATTTCCAAACTCCAGGTTTGTATGAATATGGAGGCATAACAGTTTACAAATAAAGGTGAATTCATGATTTGGGAGATATATTAGACAATAATATATTGACTGATGATCTACCAATACTCACACAAAATCAAACAGTGATCAGGAGATATTTCCCTAGATGGGAGATTAGCTATTTAGAAAGCAAAATGCAAATGTTAGATTACACCTCAAATTTGCTTTGGGTGAGAGCAATTGTCAGAAGTTTGTCATAACATCACAGGCTCTGGGATGTGTTATTTGGTTAATACATTTCTTCATTAGCTGGAAAACATTTAAGATAAAGTATATGATAAAAGTGGTTAATTCACAGATCCCGAAACAGATTCTTCTTCCTTACTTCCATTCTTCATCCATACTCCAATTCTCACACTGAGGAGAGGCTAATTGCTCAGCAGATTATTAGCAGTTGAGAATTCAGTCAAATTGAGGGGATAAGGGAGATTTCATTTTACTTTTTAAATTTCTTGCACTGTAAAATGGAAAAATGACTTTAAAGATCTAGCTTTTGATGAAAACAAGTTAATAAATTGTTTTTCTGGTAATATGCTCTTCATAAAGATTGATGAAACTGGATATTTTTTGCAAATATATACTTCACAAATGATCGTAGTGGAAGAAATGTTTAGATACAGGAGATATTAAAAATAATGGAGTAGATACTTGTTTTCAGTAATAAGTCTGCATTTCAACAGTATTTAAACATTAATTTAGGTAAACTTCCTTCACTGTAGCTTCTTGTTTTGATGAGGAACAGCAATTTAAAACATATAGAAATGAAATGTAATATTTTGAAATATGGGCAAGGAGATTTTACTGAGTACCTATTATACATATTACATTCAGATGCTAACCTGTAAGGCTAAACTATGTTAACAGAACATCTGTTTGAAATATTTTTATGTATCATATGCATCCATAGTCAGTAGCTGCCAGATAAATAATTGTAGAGACAAGGTGATTTTTTCACTGAGTCATCACAGCTTGAGAAGTCATTTTAATTATTATGTGATGCATATTTAAGAGACAGCAATTTGTTATGAGCTCCAGGCTGAGACAAAGCAAACTTACAGGACTGACAAGACTGTGCCAATAGAGTGAATCTGCTTCTAGACATTGCAGCTAGACATTTCTTACAGCTGATTTTTCTTTTTTTTCTTTCTCTATTTCCCTCCTCAGAGGTCCTTCTGTAGTGCCATGGTAGAGGAGCTGAGGATGTCTCTGAAGTGTCAGCGTCGATTAAAACACAAGCCACAGGCACCCGTTATTGTGAAAACAGAAGAAGTTATCAACATGCACACATTTAACGACAGAAGGTTGCCAGGTAAAGAAACCATGGCATAGAGCTGGGAAGCCAAATACCCCAAGCACAAACTGTCGTCTTTTTTCCAAACAACCTTGCGAGAATGTTTCCTGTGGAAATATGCAACCTGTGCAAAATAAAATGAGTTACCTCATGCCGCTGTGTCTATGAACTAGAGACTCTGTGATCTCAGCAGTTGCAATGGCCAGACTCGAATCACAAGCATCATGGATCAACCAAGTTATGCGGGGTTACACTGTTCGTCATGGGTTTCCACCATCATGAATGAATGAATGTTCCATGTGAGTTTTGTGGCTGGTTTCAAATGCAGTCTCAGTGAGAAATTACAGGTTCCTTTTGAAGTTCAACGGTTGCCAGGAGATGGAGAATAATTGTCCAAGACAATATTAACCGCGGAAGGAGTCTAGTAAATGTAATATCTCAGAACTGTAGTGGAACAAGAAACCATATGTTCTTCTGAACTTCCAAGCATAGAAGAGTTGGTAACTGCTGGTAGACTGAAGTTATCATCTGGACAGGCGATATGAGCTTCCTGGATGGGAGAAATAATAAAGTGAAGAAACATGAATCCCATGAATAGAAGGATAAATATGAGGATGCTCACTTGCTTTTTGGACTGTCTGTGTCACTGAACTAAGTAAAATAAATAATAATTAAAAAAAAAAAAATCAGTAACTTAAATTTACCTGGGCTGGAACTTTGATCTAAAAAACAACAAAAAAATTCATAATTTTGACCCAATTCTTAGATGAATGAAAGTTTCCTTAGTACAAAGGAAAGTATCTTACAACCTTTAGATATAAGCAATTACTTTATTTCTTTAATCATGAAAAGAGGGAGGGGGGTGGGAAGCAGTGTATTTCACACATAGAGGGCTTGCATTTTAGCCTGAATTGGTTTTGAAACCCTTGTTCCTGCTACTAATTGAACTCAATGGAGCCTGTGCAATTCTCGCTAATATTGGAAGTGGGATGGGTCACCTAAAAGAAGTGAATGTGGAGAACTTTAAGGAGGACTGCATTTTTCAATACAGTCACAGTACTAAATGAACAAAATTCTTGAGCAGTTTTTTTTTTTTTTAAAAAAAAAAAAATGTTCAGGTTTATTTGTGGAAATGCAAGATTTCTATGAAAATAGTTTTTGTATGGAAATTTTTGTAATACTTTTTATCAACAAAATAAGAACATGTGTTTCTGTCAGGGGTGTGATGCCAAGCATGAATGGTAGTGCGTGTGCACCACCAACGTTTGGTGAAAACTATTTTTATCAAGAAAAAGGAATCTTAGAAGAGACATATTTTCAAGTTAGATAATATAAAAACTAGGTGCACTACCACCACTGCTTACCATGCTACACCCCTGGTTTCCACTAGGCTGATAACATGCTGTCGTGAACAATTGTGTGTAAATGGTAAAAGACACAGACCTCTTGACCACATTGTGATAACAGTTAAAGTGCACTCAGTTTGCTGTTTGAATCCAATGCACAAAATTAAAAAAAAAAAAAAGCATTAAAATTATGTCAGTTTTAGTTGTTTTGTTTTTCCTGTGTGATTTGAGCAACATATGTACAAGTACTTTGTGTCAGTACTGGTACTTAGCCTCAGCTTAGTGCCCTATCCTACTGATTCTTGCCACTAAACGTGTGGCCAGAGAGTTGGTGGGATTTCTGACAGAAGCCAGTACAGCATATTGTGATAAGTTTTTGCAGGATCTGGCTCTTAGCTGCTTCAAAGCTAATTTACATGTTCTTCCTGTGGTGAGTTCTTGGACATAACATTTTGAAATACTGCCCTACAGATGCTGAATCTTGCACCTCCATCTACTGTAAATTTATTTGTATCTCAACAAAAAATGTATCGCATGGGCTATGTGGGAATGTTATGTCAAACAAAAAAGATTATGAAGATGGTCTTTATAAAGAAAATAATTAATCTGGCTAATTTAAAAAACCCTTCAAAGTAATTGTAGATAATCAGTCATTGGTGAGTAATGAGATTATTTGTTTACTGGGGCTTAATTTAATTTTATCATCATCTTTCTAGCACAGAAGTATAAGATATATCATCCAAATTTTAGAAATTATATCATGAAATTTGGGGGGAAGGGGGAGGTTTGTGTCTACTACCCAGTTCTCATTAATTTTCATAGAGACTGAGCTGGCCATTTCCATTGTGAATAGGGACTGAGAAAGCAAATTCTCTTATATTTGTGAGACTTTCATCCCAATTTATGTGATAACAGAGAACAGGTTATCTTTGTTTGAAGTATAAACAAGATAAAAACACCTTCAGCAAAGATTCTGAAAATGAATATACTTACATAATACATATTTAAGTTTAATTCTTTAAAATACAAAGAGAAAGAAAGTAACTGTCATACAACACAATGAAAGCTCCTAATTATGATGGTTTGGAATGGAAAAAGTAATTGGCTATTGCATTTGATTGATGATTTACAATAAAATTTGTAAAATCATGTAATAAAACGCTGTATTATATTAAAAAAAAAAAAAAATCTTTCTTTTCTCCATTGAGGTTGTTGAAATAAGCAGGAGTTCCATTCTCACCTTAGTCCTACATGACCAATTCTCATTAAGCTTTGTGTGAGCCAAAGCAAGTGTGATTACAGAATATGTCCCAAGTATTTTATTGGGTCAAAATCCCCCAGGGAACAAGAATCCTAACGCAGAAGTAGTGTGGCTTAATTAAGATTTCAGTGAGAATTTCAGCCTTCCATTATTAAGGGAAATATGCAAATTAACTGGAGATTTTTATTTGAGATCCAGACTAGAAATGTGTGGCTCCACAGATTCATAGTAGGATAATGGCTTTTTAAAGAAAAATTACACGCTAATTCATACTGTTACTTTGTTGCACATTAGTAATTACTTCTGTATTTTTCACATAATATTAAGACATTTAAGGATAAAGGACTAACAAAGAGTTGACCCTCAAAGTAGTAGAAAATACTACTGGTAGTTTTGTACTCCAAAAAGTTCAATGGTTCATTTCCCCTTCACTATTATCGAGGAAATTCTCAATTCTGAAGAAAACTTCCTCAGTTTGAAAGGCCTGTGAATGGCTTAGTCCCAAATGCTCATGTCGTATAAATTTCTATAGTGTCATTAAAGTCAACGGAATGACACCAGCTAAAATCAAGTGAGTATCTGGCCCATGAAGATTCAGGAATTGTATATAACTGCTTTATGTGGTTTCATATAATAGCTCAATTAGTCTGTTGATTTCCCAGAACAGGATGATGGATACTTCTCTGACTGACCTTGAATGTCACTCTGGAGAAGACTTTTAAAGCAGTTATAAGTCAGTTATATGGTGCTATCTGGTGGATGAAAATTTGAGGTAAAAACTGAATGGATTTTTTTTTTTTCTTTTACTATATCTGTTTCAAGGAAGATAGAAGTCTGTAATCTTTAAGGATTCTCAGGTTCTCGATTTGGATCTTCAGGTCACCTCAGCATCGTTATATGGCAATAGATAACTATGTGGATATTACAGAATAAATGACAAAAAAATCTATTAGCTTTTTTTGAGAAATGTCATTTGTGAAGGACTAGTAGTGAAAATTCTGAGCCAAATAGTTGGATGAAATCAAGAGATATGTGGTGCTTTATAGTAAATGAGGATTTGGCCCATTATAGACATCAGCAGGCCATTTAATACTATTCTCCAATTACATAAACGCAAATACAAATATGTTCAGGGAGTATCTGGCAGTTTTTGTATGAGACATTACTTTCTGAAGTTTCTATCTCAATTTTCAGTTGAAGAATTCAGTATAGGTATGAAAGAACCTGTTCTTTCATATTTATATTACTTGAGACTCTGTGCAATAATCCTTCCTGGTTTCATTCACAGAGTCTTCCAACAACCTGAAATAACAATGTTTAGCCCTACTACACTAACTATTTAATATTTTAGAATGGAAAAGACATAATTTATGAAGAAAAAAAACCCACAAAAATCTAAAGCCTCAATAGAAGTAGGAGAAATACCCTGATATTCTACAAAATAAAAATGTTTTCAAGGAAAAAGGGTCATAAGCAGAGATAACAGCATACAAAGAGGTAAAAGATAATACCATAAAATGTTTTTTGTATTATTATTATTATTATAGTAAGGATATTACAAAAATATTGAAAGTATTTTAGACACAACTTCACTTAGTCTCCAGATACACTAGAGTCTCCAAATACATCAACAATCACAAAATAGATGATCAAAATGCTGACTACTTTGAAAGCAGTGTCAAAACTCCTACTTCAGAGGAATACAAATTTTATCCAATACATCCCCAAATGTGTACTGATACAATATTAAAGGCAAAATAAGATACAAGCCTGTGTTTAGGTGTACAGGAGCAATTGTGCTTTTTGTTGTATTTTCAAGGATGTGTAGGAAAAGAAAGGGTCACTGAGGTTGACTCGGCTGACATCCAGGATCATTGCTTTCCAACTTCAAATATGTTAGTGTCCTGTTCCCTTCCAGTCTTGCCTCTTTGCCTTCCTACAAGCACCTCTGACACTTTCAAATTTATTTTCAAAACCTTTTTCTTCTGGCTTTCCTATAAAATGTAGTTCTAATTAAAAATAAAGTTACTCAAGCACCTCATCTCCCCAGTTTGTATCCACCAAGATAAACACACTAGTTTTTATGTGACTGTAATCTAATTGTCCTTCTCTTCATTTACTACCCCTCTCTGTCCCCGCCTATGTTATCTCCTCCTGTTGTTCTTGTACTTGCCTAGACTGTAAGCTCTTAGGGGGCAGGGAATCTGTCTTTGATTTGTTCTATGTAGCACCATGAACTATGGAGCTATATAAATAATAAAAAAAGTAGATCTTCTTAAATGATGTTTGAACTGATAGTGATCTGATTGACTGCCAGTCTAGTAATATATTGGTTTAGCTTATTGCCTGAAATCGTAATCACTACAGCAATAGAATAATCAAAAAATAAAAATAATAAAACCAACCCAAAGGAGCTATCACACTAACTCATCT